GGAGGAAAAGGGGCCAAAAAAAATACCAGCAATGTTTTGTGAAAACCTTGTGAAGACTTACAGAAAACGTTTGACCGTGTTTATTGCCAAAAAAGGGGGGATTTTAACAAAGTATTGAGAAATTTTGTTATTTACCCAAATTTCTTTTTTTCCAAAATTTGCAAATAAATTTATAAAAAAAACCTACAAAAGGGATTTTTTGGGGTTTTTTTTTTTCATTTTTTTGTCATAGTGGGCATTTTACCTAGATTTAAATTACAGGCCCTTCCAAACTTTTTAAAGGGGGAGAACTTGACCCAATTGGTGGATGGGCTTTAAAAAAGTTTTTTTCCCCCTTGGGATGTTTGGGGAACCCCCAAACACATGACAACCCACTCGGTTTTAAGGTTGAGAATCTTGGGTTTTTGGGTTTTTTGATATCGACCCGGGCCCCCTTTGAAACAGAAACGGTAAAAACAATCCGGGCCCGGGCCCTGTGCGCGCAGGTTTACCTGTTTCTCTGAGGCCAAGGTATAATCTTTCAAAGGGGTGGTTTATCTGCCACTCTTTCATTTTATCCGGCGCAGGGAGAAGACATAAAGGTATTATCCCTTTTAAAGGGTAAAGGGGTGGAAATGAGCTTTTTGGCCCGGGTTTAAACAAAATGTTGTTTCCCAAATGACAAATTCCCTATATAGTGCACTCTTGGATCAGAAACCCACGGGGCCCGGTTAAAAAATAGTGACTATATGGGAATAGGGCCATTTTGGATTTTAGTCTGTTTGGGTTTATTTCCGAAGGAGAAAATTTTGGGTTTTCCCGGGGATTGTGGTCAGGGCGAAACACAGTAACCAAAAAAAAAAATGAAACACAAAAAAAAAAAAAAAGTGGGAAATTTGGAAAATTTGGGTTTACCCCTGTTTTGGGGGCCAATTTGGAAAGGGGTTCCCAAAGAAAAAAAGGGAAAAAAAAAAGAAAGAAAAAGAAAAGAAAGAAAAAAGAAAAAGAAAAAAAGAAAGAGAGAAAAAAAGAAAAGAATTCCATTGTTTATCCTGTTTTGGGAAATTTAAACAAAAATAGCCCAGAAAAAAGAACAAATGTTCCTTTACAGGGAGAGGTTTGGCCCCGCATCCCCAAATGGAAACCCCTTTTCCCCATATAGTGCACTACTTTTTCCCCCGGCCCCAAAATGGCTCTAGTCAAATGTAGTGCAAAATATGGGAATTTGGGTTTCCTTTTGGGGCGCAAAAACCCCGGACGACATCACCCGGGGGGTTTTGATCGGAAAGTCCTGAAGTTAAAATAAAATTTTTTCAGTTCTGGGTTTTCCCCTTTCCCTGAAAAACTAATTGTACAGCAGGGTCAAAGACAGCTAGGGGTTTTTTGGACTTTCAGAGGGAAACTATTTCAGACACCCCTGAAAAAAGAAAAAAAGGTTTCAAAAAAAGGTTTTCAGTGATTACACTAGAAAGGTGGGGCTAAAGATGGATGACCAAAAAGGATGGGAAATCACTTAAGAGTTTAAAGGGCTTAAGAGTGCAGGGCCGGGACACAGAGAAAAACAAACATCAAAAAAAAAAAATAAACAGACATTTTTAAAGGGGACAGATGACGGGCCTTCATTTTCCCATCATTTCGTCATTTTTTTTCTCCATCATTTTCCCGTTAAAAAAATTTAAAAATTTACGTGTGGGTTTTCTGCCCCTTTCCTTCCCTCCCTCGGGGGTTTGCACTTTTTGGGCGCTTTGGTAAAAGAATGAAAGCCGTTTTTTGTGGGCCCCTTTTTTCAGGTTGAGGTTTCAAAAAGTCTGGTTGAGTGTACCTCACCCCCCATAAAGGGGACCCTTTTTAGGGCACTCCCCACCCCAAAACACACCACACAACACACCCCACACACACACACCCCACACACACAACCACAAACACACAACACACACAACACCACACACAGGGCCCCACACACCACAACAACACACACACACACACACCACAAAAACACACACCCCCAAAACCCCACACCAAACCACCACACAACACACCCCCCCACACCCACACAGACACCAAAAAACAACACGGGACTTATTTATTTAAAAGTTCCTAAATTGGGAAAGGGGGAAAAAATTTTAGGACCAAGGGAAAACCCGACACGACGGTGGCCTGACCTGGTTGCCTTCAGCAGTTTAGACACTGTGACCTCAACCCCTCCCCCCGGTTCCCCCCCTTAGAAATACCTGGCGGCCAATTGGTGACCCCTTTTTTAATTTCCAAACAAATTGCTATGGGCGAGGGGCTTTCCCCCTTCTAGTAAAACTATTTCTAATGTCACCTTTTCCCCGGTTAGGTTAAGTTGGGGAATTTAAAATCAAACCCCCCCAGATTAAATTTACCACAGGGGTCCCTCCCTGTAGAGGAGCCTTTTTAAAAAAAGAAAAAGGATCAATCACCCCTGTAGCCGGTTTTTGAAATGGTGAAGGGTTGGGGTGTTTTGGGTGGAGAGAAATTTAAAGGGGGGGTCAACCCCTTTTCAATGTTTTAAAAGAGTGACATTTGTTTAAAATCATGATTTATATTGTTGGGGGAGGCATGGGGGAGGGTTTTGGGGGGAAAAGAGCTACGAGGGGACTCCTTGTTGATTTATATCGGTTTTAAGGAGGAATTTGGGGAGGTTTGGGGGAAAGAGAGATAAGGGGGGACTCCCGTTGGGTTTAATCTTTTTACAGGGGAAAGGGGGGGGTTTGGGGGACAGAGAGAAAGGGGTGACTCCGTGGTTTAAATTTAAAATGGGGGGTTGGGGGGGCAAAAAGGGTTTTTTTTTTGGGAAAGGGGGGGGGGTTTGGGGGACAGAGAGATCCCAGGGGACTCCTTTTTGTTTCTACTGTTGCCCCCAGGCCTGGGGGGGGGTTTGGGGGCCCGGAGGATACGGGTTTACTCCTTGTTGATTTTTTTTTCTGGTTTACCCCCGGGTGGGGGGGGTTTGGGGGACGGGGTACGAGGTTTATCCTTTTTGATTTTTTTTTCTGTTGGGGCCCGGAGGCAGGGGAGGTTTGGGGGGCCCGGGGGAGATACGAGGGGACCCCCCTTTTATTATATCTGTTGACAGAGGCATGGGGGAGGGTGGGGGCAGAGAGATACGAGGTGAACCCCCTTGAGGTTTTATCTGTTGAAAAGGGGGCAGGGGGAGGTTTGGGGGACGAAAAGAACGAGGGGTTTAAATCCCCTTTTTGATTATATCTGTTTAAAAGGAGGGGAGGGGGAGGTTTTTGGGGGGACAGAGAGATACGAGGTCTCCTTGTTGATTTATTTCTGTTTAAGGAGGCATGGGGGAGGTTTGGGGGGCAGAGAGTAAGGGGGGGACTCCGTTGATGTATATTTGGTTTACAGGAGGGGATGGGGGGGGTTTGGGGACAGAGGATACGGGGGTGGGCCCCTTTTTGATTTTTTTTTCTGTTGACAGGAGGCATGGGGGAGGTTTGGGGGAAAAGAGAGATACGAGGTGACTCCTTGTTGATTTTTTAAACTGTTTACAGGAGGGATGGGGGAGGTTTTGGGGGCCGAGAGATACGAGGGGGGGACTCCTTGGTTTTTTTTTAAACTTTACAGGAGGCCCTGGGGGAGGGGTTTTGGGGGGCAGAGAGATACGAGGGAAATCCTTTTTGAAATTTTTATTTTTGGGCAGGAGGAAAGGGGAGGGGGGGGGGGACAGAGAGAACGGGGGGGTGACTCCTGTTGATTTATATCTGTTGACCCGGAGGGATGGGGGGGGGGGGAGGGTTTGGGGGGCCCGAGAGATACGAGGGGCTCCTTGGGTTTATTTAAACTGTTGGGGCAGGAGGAAAGGGGGAGGTTTGGGGGGGCAAAAAGGGGATACGGAGGGGGCCCTTTTTGTTTATATCTGGTTTACAGGAGGGGATGGGGGAGGGGGTTGGGGGGGCAGAGGGATACGAGGGTTTACTCCCTTTGATTTAATTGTTGGGAAAGGGGGCATGGGGGGGTTTGGGGGACAGAGAGAAGATACGAGGTGACTCCTGGTTTATTTTTAAAATTTTTGAAAAGGGGCCCTGGGGGAAAGGTTTTTTGGGGCGGGGAGTACGAGGGGGACTCCTTTTTTTTTTGATTTTTTATAATTTTGTTGGGCAGGAGGCTGGGGGGGGGAGGTTTTGGGGGGCAGGAGATACGGGGGGACCCTTGGGGATTTTTAAAACTGTTGCAGGAGGAAGGGGGAGGGGTTTGGGGGGGCAGAGAGATACGAGGTGACTCCTTGTTGATTATATCTTTTTTTTGAACAAAGGGGGCATGGGGGAGGTTTGGGGGGGCGAGAAAATACGAGGTTTACCCTTGTTGAGTTATATTGTTGAAGGAGGAAAGGGGGGGGGTTTGGGGGGCGGGGAAAATAAGAGGTGAACCCTTTTGATTTTTTATCTGTTGAAGGAGGGATGGGGGGGGTTTTGGGGGGGCAGGGGGATACGAGGGGACCCTTGGGTTTATTAATCTGTTGACAGGGGGGGCATGGGGGGGGTTTGGGGGACAGAGAGATACGAAAGGGGACTCCCTTTTTGATTTAATTGTTTACCCCGGAGGGATGGGGGAAAGGGGTTTTTGGGGGAGGTTTGGGGGACAGAGAGAGACGAGGTCGAGGTGACTCCTTGTTGATTTATATCTGTTGACAGGAGGCATGGGGGAGGTTTGGGGGACAGAGAGATACGAGGTGACTCCTTGTTGATTTATATCTGTTGACAGGAGGCATGGGGGAGGTTTGGGGGACAGAGAGATACGAGGTGACTCCTTGTTGATTTATATCTGTTGGACAGGAGGCATGGGGGAGGTTTGGGGGACAGAGAGATACGAGGTGACTCCTTGTTGATTTATATCTGTTGACAGGAGGCATGGGGGAGGTTTGGGGGACAGAGAGATACGAGGTGACTCCTTGTTGTGTGTGCATCAACATTCACTATTTGTTGTCGGCTAAAATGATTCACTTAACTGTCAGTTTAAATTGACATATTTTTCATGTTGGCTGTTATTAACACTAGAACCACCGTGTGCAGTAAAAGAGAAGAGAGAGACCGAATAAAGGTTGGTGTTATGGCTTTAGGCTTTAGTATGAAAAAGGACCAGCTCTTTTCCTGAGGACTGACATTAGTTTCATTATTTGACCAGGACAAAGAAAACACATTGTGCAACCATGACTGATCAGTATTTTGGAAGTCAGTTGATAACCAGTGAACACACAGCCATACAGTATATAGCACAGTGGTTTACAGTAGTAGATTCATGATCGTTGTAGGCTATATGGTACTGTGTCCTATCCGTGAGTTATTCAGATTGAGAAACTTCTTCTACATCACAGTGAGGTGATGAGGTCACCACGTTTCTAACCAAGTTACAATCAGAGGCTTCCTGTAACTCCCTCATCTTCCTCTCTAGTCTCTCTGCCATCACACTCTGATGTGTCTTCCTCAGTATTTCCGGTAGACTCCTCAGGTCTTCCTCTGAGGCATCCCTGATCCAGTCCCTCACCTGGCCCTGCAAGAGGCCTCTCTGGGCGGACTGGGAGAGGCTGTTGGGCGGGTGCTGCTGGTGCTCCTGGTCAAATAAAATGACATTATTTTATTTAAATTGCATTTAAAATCGCAGCACATTTTCAAATAATAAAATGAAGGAGATATACAACAACAGACGGCAATACAAGAGAATAATGAAATCACATTTAAAAAGTCTAAAATAATAGTGAAATCATTGATTAAAGGCCAGGTTAAATGTATACCTCTACTGTGTGTGTCTGTACTTGCTATTTTATTAGGATCCCCATTATCTGTTGCCATAGCAGCAACTACTCTTCCTGGGGTCCACACAGAACATGAAACATGACATTATACAGAACATTGATAGACAAGAACAGCTCAAGGACAGAACTACATCAATGTAAAACAAGAAAATATAACTATAAAGGTTCTGTACTGACTCAATACTGAGAAAAATAAGACAGAGACCTACTATTCTAGTCCATTTATATTTTCATACATTACATTACATTCAGTAGCATCTATCAGTACATACACACACAATATTTAGGTCTGTCCCTCTAACCTGATGCTCCTGCTCCTCCCCGCTGGCCATCAACCTCCAGACCAGCCTCCTCAGCTTCACCACTCTCATCTTGTGATGAGCGAAGAAGTCAGGAAGGAAAGTTCTGAGTAGTTTAAACTCACCTGCAAACGAGGAAAAAGGAGATTTGACTGTTAGTAATATTAACGTAATACTAATGTATAATACCAATGTAATGCAAAGTATACTAATACTTCCATTACATTTCATAAAAGCCTGCAGTAAATAAAATATAGACCACCAATTCTGTTTCAGTATTTGGGTTTGAAACACACCACAACTAAAAACACAAGCCAATATCAAGATCTAGTCGATAATGTGATACCCACCTCCATCTTTGAGTTCTTCACAGGAAAGGGCACAGAGGTTGTCATGCCAACACGTGCCACTGAGGACGGTCTTCCGCCCCAGTGACGCGCAATCGGTGTGATTTACGCATGGCGCGCGCGAAGGAGAGTTGTAGGAGAAGGAACCTTGAGGGCATTTTTCACACACTGTGTCCGTCTCCGTCGTACCTGTGGGGTTATTTGAAATTTTAAAACAAATGTATATTACTATTTGTCCGTTATAAACCATTATTCTATCTATCTCCAAAAGAACGTGATTGCGCAAAGAAGGAAATGGTGACGGATCTGTCTATTCCGTTTCTTACCTCTCCGTTTCACCCCGTGGCCAGAAGGACACTCCGTGTGTCTGATACAGAAATCGGCGTTCCAGTAATATCCTCCTTTGCACTCACACACCCTGTCATTGAGAACCGAGCACTCCTCCTTGACCACCTGGTGCTCCCCACAGAACGTGCTGCAGTACAGGCACTTGGGCAGGTAGTTCCAGTACTGAGTGTAGTGGCTTGGTGGACACGACGTACACACGGTCTGTGTGGTGGCTGTGCAGTGCGCAGACATATGATGGCCAGGTGGACAGCGATTACAGGTGAGTAACTGGCCGGTGGTGGGGTCCAGGTGGTGGTAGGTGGTCGGGGTCTGACTTTGAAGAACCTCCATCATTGCGCCACAGCTGAGATCAACCGCCGCCAGCACTACGAGGATTGGGAACAACTGTAAACATGAGAAAATAATGCACTTAGTTTAATGCACTTTGTTTAGAGCACGTTGTGACAATTGCTGATGTAAAAAGGGCTTTATTAAATACACTGCTCAAAAAAATAAAGGGAACACTTAAACAACCCAATGTAACTCCAAGTCAATCACACTTCTGTGAAATCAAACTATCCACTTAGGAAGCAACACTGATTTACAATAAATTTCACATGCTGTTGTGCAAATGGAACAGACAACAGGTGGAAATTATAGGCAATTAGCAAGACATCCCCAATAAAGAAGTGGTTCTGCAGGTGGTGACCACAGACCTGGCTGATGTTTTGGTCACTTTTGAATGCTGGCGGTGCTTTCACCCTAGTGGTAGCATGAGACGGAGTCTATAACCCACACAAGTGGCTCAGGTAGTGCAGCTCATCCAGGATGGCACATCAATGCGAGCTGTGGCAAGAAGGTTTGCTGTGTCTGTCAGCGTAGTGTCCAGAGCATGGAGGCGCTACCAGGAGACAGGACAGTACATCAGGAGACGTGGAGGAGACCGTAGGAGGGCAACAACCCAGCAGCAGGACCGCTACCTCCGCCTTTGTGCAAGGAGGAGCAGGAGGAGCACTGCCAGAGCCCTGCAAAATGACCTCCAGCAGGCCACAAATGTGCATGTGTCTGCTCAAACGGTCAGAAACAGACTCCATGAGGGTGGTATGAGGGCCCGACGTCCACAGGTGGGGGTTGTGCTTACAGCCCAACACCGTGCAGAACGTTTGGCATTTGCCAGAGAACACCAAGATTGGCAAATTCGCCACTGGCGCCCTGTGCTCTTCACAGATGAAAGCAGGTTCACACTGAGCACATGTGACAGACATGACAGAGTCTGGAGACGCCGTGGAGAACGTTCTGCTGCCTGCAACATCCTCCAGCATGACCGGTTTGGCGGTGGGTCAGTCATGGTGTGGGGTGGCATTTCTTTGGGGGGCCGCACAGCCCTCCATGTGCTCGCCAGAGGTAGCCTGACTGCCATTAGGTACCGAGATGAGATCCTCAGACCCCTTGTGAGACCATATGATGGTGAGGTTGGCCCTGGGTTCCTCCTAATGCAAGACAATGCTAGACCTCATGTGGCTGGAGTTTGTCAGCAGTTCCTGCAAGAGGAAGGCATTGATGCTATGGACTGGCCCGCCCGTTCCCCAGACCTGAATCCAATTGAGCACATCTGGGACATCATGTCTCGCTCCATCCACCAACGCCACGTTGCACCACAGACTGTCCAGGAGTTGGCGGATGCTTTAGTCCAGGTCTGGGAGGAGATCCCTCAGGAGACCATCCACCACCTCATCAGGAGCATGCCCAGGCGTTGTAGGGAGGTCATACAGGCACGTGGAGGCCACACACACTACTGAGCCTCATTTTGACTTGTTTTAAGGACATTACATCAAAGTTGGATCAGCCTGTAGTGTGGTTTTCCACTTTAATTTTGATGGTGACTCCAAATCCAGACCTCCATGGGTTGATACATTTGATTTCCATTGATAATTTTTGTGTGATTTTGTTGTCAGCACATTCAACTATGTAAAGAAAAAAGTATTTAATAAGATTATTTCATTCATTCAGATCTAGGATGTGTTGTTTAAGTGTTCCCTTAATTTTTTTGAGCAGTGTACATTTGATTGATGTAAAGGTTTCAACTACCATAGGCTAGGGGCCACCAATTAATTAGTCAACATTATTGTAAAATTTACTAATAATCACAAACAGCTTTTTGGCCATGGGAATATTAGATTGTTGTCACAGCATCACATTCCCATTGTACAATATAGCTAAATATTTTACTTTAAATGTTGCAATATATAAATAATGTTTTAAAAAGGAACATCCTTGTACTTTAACTCTATTACTGGATGTATCATTATCCCATAATCATAAGTGTGACTCACCATGTTGATGTTGTCTCTTGTCCAGCTGTAAAAGGACTTGATACTGGGTCCTTCTCTCTGTCCTTTATTGTCAACCGTGGAATGGAAAGAGGAAGGGGAGGAGACTTAGGTATTTGACCAGTCAGGGATGGAGACATATCCTCTATTAGTGGCCGATTCAGACCTTACCATCCTTTATTGTCAACCGTGGAATGGAAAGAGGAAGGAGAGGAGACTAGGGTATTTGACCAGTCAGGGATGGAGACATATCCTCTATTAGTCCATATTATAACAGCTTCATAACACGCCTGGTGTCCCCGGGTAGTCATAACACAGGTCACTTTCCATTGTAAATAATACAATCTTTCAGCATCTCTGATTTGCATGACATGCTGTGCAGATGTGTCAACCTTGGCAGTCATGCATTTATTCCTCTGTCAATAGAAGAAAGGTACGTACTATATTGACTCACTGCTCGAATGGCACCCTATTCCCTCTCTAGTGCACTACTTTGCCCTATGGGCACTACTTTGCCCTATGGGCCCTGGTCAAAAGTAGTGCACTATAAGGGAAATAGGGTGCCATTTGGAACGCATCCCTCTTGTTCTGCCAGCTAATGCAATTAATCATATATCCTAAACAACTGGCTAAGACACTCAGAAGTGAACAGAGTTTTGAGGTGGGTGATTCATATTAATGCTGATATCATTTGTATCCCACTAGGCTATTATTAAATATCTTTAATTAAGAAGAAATTAGGATAGTTTAGATCCATCTGTCTTGCTCTCTTAGTCACTCACACACATCATCACACACACATACACACTCTTAGGCCCAAAAAATTGTAAAAAACTCCAGTCACCCAAGTCATAGACTGTTCTCTCTGCTACCGCACGGCAAGCGGTACCGGAGCGCCAAGTCTAGGACCAAAATGCTCCTTAACAGCTTCTACCCCCAAGCCAGAAGACTGCAGAACAATTAATCAAATGGCCATCCGGACTATTTATATTGATTTGTTTTTACACTGCTGCTACTCACTGTTTATTATCTATGCATAGCCACTTTGCCCCTACCTACATGTACAAATTACCTCGACTAACCATTGACTCGGTACCGGTACCCCTTGTATATAGCCTCGTTATTGTTATTTTGTTGTGTTACTTTTTATTTTGTTTTACTTAGTAAATATTTTCCTAACTCTTTCTTGAACTGCATTGTTGGTTAAGGGCTTGTAAGTAAGCATTTCACGGTATGGTCTAAACTGTGTGATGCTCAGGGAAAAAAACCATCTCTCTCTCCTAACGCGAAGAGGACTAGAAGAGAGAGAGAGGAGAGAGAGAGATGAGAAGGAGAGATTGAGGAGAGAAGCGAGAGAGAGAGGAGAGAGAGGCAGAGAGGAGAGAGAGAGCGAGAGCTAGGAGAGAAGTCGAGAGAGCGCGAATCTAGAGCTCTCTCTCTACCTCTCTCTCTCGATCTCTCTCTCTCTCTCTCTCTCTCTCTCTCTCTCTCTCTCTCTCTCTCTCTCACTCCATGACAACCAAACAACTCTATAATCATATCTGTAAAGGTCACAACTACAACTTCCTAAAGTTAAAATCTGGAAGTTCTAACTGTTGAAAGATGCTGGGTCCCTATGTAGAGAGAGAGACCACAGCAGAACAGTCATGAGGATGTAGAGTCAGGGTTACTTCCTATGGAGGATCATAATATTGTTATACATGTTACTATGATATCTTTAAAAGATCAGCTGACCCGAGTCTAGCCTGGTCCCAGATCGAGTTTGTACTGTCTTACCAACTCCTATGGTCGTTGTTGCTGCCAATGACCATAGGACTTGGCAAGACAGCACAAACAGGTCTGGGATCAGGCTAGACAGGGTCTGCTTTCTGGTTTAAAACAGGTGTTTCTTCCAAAGAGTTATGGTTAGTTTCTGAGGAGCAAGGTGAGCCACACATGGCGTGACAATGACAATAGGTACAAAGGAACACAAACCAACAGGGACCAGACTAGTTGTAACCAGAGCAGACTAGTTGTAACCAGATTTGACTATTTGTAACCAGATCACACTAGTTGTAACCAGATCAGACTAGCTGTAACCCGATCAGAGTAGTTGTAACCAGATTAGACTAGTTGTAACCAGATCAGACTAGTTATGACTAAATACAGAGGAGCAATATGAGCAACAAATGGCCTGACAATGAGACAATGACCCTAGGAGTTAGGAAGACATCACAAACAGATCTGGGACCACACTAGTGGAGGTGAGAATGGGAATAACCTTCCAGGAGACATGATGACACAGTGAATAACCTTCCAGGAGACATGATGACACAGTGAATAACCTTCCAGGAGAGACAGGATGATACAGTGAATAAACTTCTAGGAGAGACAGGATGACACAGTCAATAACCTTCCAGGAGACAGGATGACACAGTGAATAACCTTCCAGGGGAGACAGGATGACACAGTGAATAACCTTCCAGGAGAGACTGGATGACACAGTGAATAACTTTCCATGAGAGACAGGATGACACAGTGAATAACCTTCCAGGGGAGACAGGATGACACAGTGAATAACCTTCCAATAGAGACAGAATGACACAGTGAATAAACTTCCAGGAGAGACAGACAAAAGTGTCTGCTAAATGGCATATTATTATTATGATTATTATGACAGTGAATAACCTTCCAGGAGACAGGATGACACAGTCAATAACCTTCCAGGGGAGACAGGATGACACAGTTAATAACCTTCCAAGAGAGACAGGATGACACAGTGAATAACCTTCCAGGAGAGACAGGATGACACAGTGAATAACCTTCCAAGAGAGACAGGATGACACAGTGAATAACGTTCCAGGAGTGACTGGATGACACAGTGAATAACCTTCCAAGAGAGACAGGATGACACAGTGAATAACCTTCCAGGAGAGACTGGATGACACAGTGAATAACCTTCCAGGATACAGGATGACACAGTGAATAACCTTCCAGGAGACAGGATGACACAGTGAATAACCTTCCGGGAGACAGGATGACACAGTGAATAACTGTCACATACTCATTTTACAGGTGAGTAAAGGTGTGGACATGTCAGCTGTACACTGAACCTTCACATTCCATGATATTTCCAAGCGATGAATACCATGTCCTTATTGAGTCAGTATACCGAGTAAGCTATTTCGTGCTTCTTAATAAGCAAATTGTTATGAGACTGAAATGCCCGTAACAAGACTGAGTCATGCTTCTTAATAAGCTAATTGTTTACGAGACTGAAATGCCCGTAACAAGACTGAGTCATGCTTCTTAATAAGCAAATTGCTACGAGACTGAAATGCCCTTAACAAGACTGAGTCAATAGGAGGAGGGGTCTGTTTCAGGAACAATGGAACTTCTGTCAGGCTCAGGTTACTGCAGGACAGTAATGTCACTAGGACTCTACATCCACACAAATGTGAGGGGAAATCAAAATACAACACTTATCATTTTAAAAGTCATACAACAATTTTATCAAATGGATTTTAATCAGATAATTCGACATAATGTTCACAAAAATAAGGACTTGAAAAAGGGCCGGTCAAACCAAAAATCCAAAATAAAGATCCATACCTTTTTTATACAAAAATGATTTACAAAAAATCCCTTCGGCTTCAAACAAACAACATTGTAACTTCAAACCTGCAGCATTCAGAATCCAGTTTTGTAATATAGAGATAAAAAAAAACAAGCTTTTACAAAACAAATCTGGTAAGAAAAATTACATTTAAATAAAAAAAATTGCACTCCTTTGTACATTCATAAAATCTGACAATGTTTGAAATGTTTTGACAGTTTCAATAGAGCTTTGCATGTCAGCAGTCCACACAGAACAGCAGGGGGGCGTCCCAAATAGCACCCTATTCCCTAAATAGTGCACTACTACCCAATGGGCCCTGGTCAAAAGTAGTGCACTAAATAAGTAGTAGTATGCCATTTGGAACGCACTCATGAGGAAACATTTCATTATGAAATAAATCTCCTCTTTTTAAAACAGTGAAAAAGCAAGACGACCCTCTCCCTATCCCCCCCCCTTCTACCTCTCCTTAAAAATAGTGGACATATACACAACTTTTAAATAGTTTTCTATTTTCGTCAGGGTTGGGATCAATTCCATTTTCAATTCAGTCAATTCAGCGAGTTAATTCAAATTCAATTCACGAACTGAAAAAAAATTTGACCGCAACCCTGCTTTTCACACAGTTAGGACTAATCCTAATTTACACTTAAATTGAATTTTCACTTAGTCATGCATTGATATCAACGGGAGACCGAGTGAAAATTCGACGTAAGTGGACGTTAGGATCCACCCCATCAGACCTGGGTTGCAAATACTTTAAACATTAATTTAAATCCTTTATCTGACCCTGTTTGAGTTTGCCTGGATTAATAAACCAATAGAAACGTCTCAAAACGTCAAACCCTGCCCATCTTGCACTCCAGGCAGACTCAAACAAATGCTAGATTTTTCAAGTGTTTGAAACCCAGATCTGCGCCCCTTAGCCCCGTCCCATTCTTCCTATTGGTTGTAGGGTTTGGTCTTGAAGCAGGTCCCGTCCTCGATCATGTTGAGGAACATCTTCTCGTACATCTTGTGTATGGAGGAGGTGGAGATGATCCGGTTGATCTTCTTGATGCTCCTGAGGAGCGGGCGTGGTGCCCCCTGCTGCCGGAGCCTGCTCAGGCTGTGGGCCAGACCCTTTAATTGATTAATTAATTGATTGATTAGGTTCATTTAAATAAATACAAATACAGACAGTAATTGTTTTAACTATCAAGGAGAACACAAAGTTATCAAGTATTACTTATTTCCATTGTGTTCCTTTCGTCAAAACTAAGGCAATCGGAAATGGGAAAACCAGCACACTTCTAATTGGAGATTCTTATCTAGTTGTTGGTGCGTAGAACAGAAAATTATCCATTAAGAAAAGGAATATGAGGAATGTCCACACTCAGTATTTGGCTAGATTAAGGCAGGCATGTTAATGTGCATGGTGGTGGCGGAGCAATACCTTATTGATGTCCAGGTCCTTGTTCTGGTTCTTCCAAAGGTGTAGGAGCTGCAGGAGGTACTGCTGGGAGCGGCATGAGGAGACCACGGCCCTGACGTCCTCCTCGTGAGCCCGGACCCCTGGGAGACTGTCCATCACCGTCAGGAGGTCACCCATGGTCAGGTTCTTCAAACCTGCACACCTGGACACCTTCCGCTCACAGTTGTTCACACCTGAGATAACAGGGTAGAGGAGGAACTCAGGTTAAAACTGATACTACTGTTAGACACCTGGACACCTTACACTCACAATAGAGGGAAAGGGTAATGGAGAAATATTAGCAATGAAACGACTTAGCCACCTGGACTATAGGGCTGGCACAATTACCGTATAACCGTGTAACCGACGGTTATGGATGAAGACCATCATGAAAATAAAATAACCCTCAAATAATGTTTTATTGTTTTGTGGAACAAACAGCTGACTAAAGCCGGGATGGCTGGGCATTCGTGCGGTTGATTCAGTTTCTGCTCTATCATGGACTCTACAACTTGCTGAAACAAGCAAGGTGTTGTAGCAGATGAGCCTTTGGTTGCCTAGGCAACACCCCCCTCCCTGCAGCGGCAGCACATGCAGTCAGAAGCAGAGGAGAACGTTTTAATTTTCTTTGTTGTTGTTGCTATTCCAACGGTTACTACGGTGACTACAGTCTTAACCTGGACACCTTCCGCTCACAGTGGTTCACTGGATAATAGGTATGATGAGCTCAGGACGTAACAGGACCCTCTCACTGGATAATAGGTATGATGAGCTCAGGACATAACAGGACCCTCTCACTGGATAATAGGTATGATGAGCTCAGGACGTAACAGGACCCTCTCACTGGATAATAGGTATGATGAGCTCAGGACGTAACAGGACCCTCTCACTGGATAATAGGTATGATGAGCTCAGGACATAACAGGACCCTCTCACTGGATAATAGGTATGATGAGCTCAGGACATAACAGGACCCTCTCACTGGATAATAGGTATGATGAGCTCAGGACGTAACAGGACCCTCTCACTGGATAATAGGTATGATGAGCTCAGGACGTAACAGGACCCTCTCACTGGATAATAGGTATGATGAGCTCAGGACGTAACAGGACCCTCTCACTGGATAATAGGTATGATGAGCTCAGGACATAACAGGACCCTCTCACTGGATAATAGGTATGATGAGCTCAGGACGTAACAGGACCCTCTCACTGGATAAACGTCTTCAGGACATAACAGGAAGTCATTTGCAGCAGCCAGTAGCAGAGCTCTACTAAACGGATCCTACTGACCTTGAATGACGCCGTAGAGTTTAACCTGATCTTTGTTCTGTTCTCTCCAGAGTCTCAACAGGAGTAGTATATGCTGCTGGGGGGAGCAGACCTTTTTCAGCCTCTCCAGACTCTTCCTGTCAACCCTCTTCCCAGGCAGGCTCTCCAGGAGACGCTCCAGGGGGACGGAGGACAGACGGAGGGACGCCAGAGACTGGAAGATGGCCTCCTCACACAGCGACACGTCTGAGACAGAGAGGGAGAGAGAGGACACTGACGTTACATCCTGGTACTTACGTACTTGTTTTCTTTATGATACATTGAGATCTTGATTGATCCTGTGTGAAGAGCCAGATGTGTTAGGTTTGCTCTATTGGGACCATAATGGTATCTTATTCCAGAAACAGACTTTCTGTGTCAGGTTATACCAAATAAACATTTGTTAACTCTATTGAACAGATGACGAGCACCAGTTCACATGAAGACCTCAACACCTGTGGAGATGGACCTCAACATCCCCTGATACGGGTCACTGCGATACGTCACACAGCAGACCTGGTGTGATGGAACACAGGTGTTCTGTGTGTGTGTGCATCGTTCCGGTTCTAGAATGAGAACTCAGTACTGTGTTTGGTCTCCTGGGAGACTCATCAGGCTCACTCTGATGTGGTGTGGTTCTGTGGTGTGTGTGTGTGTGTGTGTGTGTGTGTGTGTGTGTGTGTGTGTGTGTGTGTGTGTGTGTGTGTGTGTGTGTGTGTGTGTGTGTGTGTGTGTGTAATGGAGGGTGTCCAGTCATTACCAGACCAGATAATGAAAACATCACTTCCTCTCACTTCTTTGTTCCATCCCAGCGGCGACACACTCATTTCCCTCACAGCCTCTCCTCCTTCCTCCTTATTTAGTTCAGACTTCGACTCCCAAATGGCACCCCTTTCCCTTTATAGTGCGCTACTTTTGACCAGGACCCATAGGGATCTGGTCAAAAGTAGTGCACTATATAGGGAATAGGGTGCCATTTGGGATGCAAATCTGACTTTCAGCATTTTCTCAAATCTAATCTAACTGAACATTGGCTTGGATTTGAATCCAGCATTGGCAAAGACATTTTCCCCTCAATTTGACATTTGTACTTCAAACTATTTTCTAATTCATTGCAAACAATCTGTGGTGTCACCATAGAAATACAATGACTGAATCATTGTAATTGTATGGGTGTCATATCCCACTAAAACAAATTCTGAATTAATTGTTAAGGAGAGCATCACTCCCCTGGGAAAGTAACAGTTCTGGGTGTTCTACTCTGATAGTTGTTAGTCATGCTATAGGAACTCAGTTTAATGTGAATAGTTCATTCTCGTGGAAGTCAACCTCCCCCTGATACGTCTCACTGTGATACGTCACACAGCAGACCTGGTGTGATGGAACACAGTTGTTCTGTGTGTGTGTGCATCGTTCCGGTTCTAGAATGAGAACTCAGTACTGTGTTTGGTCTCCTGGGAGACTCATCAGGCTCACTCTGATGGGTTGTGGTTCTGTGGTGTGTGTGTGTGTGTGTGTGTGTGTTCTCAGCAGCATTCTTCATGGTTTCAGCCTGAGTAAGACCCTAAACCAGGGTTCCCCAACAGGTGGCCTGCGGTCCAGGTATTTCTTTATTGGCCCCTCAAGTTTTCTGAGCAAATAAACAAAAAACGATTAATGGTTGGACATAAAAGACTGTAAAAACACCAGGAAATCAGCTCCAAGGGATTTACATTTTGGAAATCTGTTCTAAAGTATTCCCATGCATAATAGAGAGATATATGTGATTGTATACAAATGTAAGCAAGGTTTGAAATGATTATGTATTAGTGAAATATTATATCTGTTTGGGCTTCTTGCGGTTAACTTGCAGTCTACAAATTATCTGTAATTATATTCCGGCCCCACGACTGCTCAAGAACAAAACGGACCGTGGCTGAATCTAGTTGATGATCCCTGCCCTAAACCCATGTCCTCATGTCTCCTCTTTGACTGACTCAGTTCCCTCTTTGGTCCAAGCTTCCAAGGTCCAGGATATAACAGTCACACACACTAATCACTACATCATGGCTCTTGCTGGAGTTACTGGAGTTAGTGGGATGACGTCAACCTGTTGCTCAGGTGAAATGCTGTAGGCAGCTGAGACCAACTGGGTTTGAACATTTGTTGCCTGCTGCTGCAAGAGTTTATCCGCTGAGATTAAGCCTAGGTATTTTCTTGGGGAGCTAAAACAAGTCTTCTAGTCTCAGGCAAAGTTACTCATGAACCTCTTTAGTCAGTGTGAAGCTGAGCCGGGTTGTCGTGCAGTGCTGTAGATTAGAATCATTCACTCCTTTTTAATAAACATTACATGGTGTGTGTGTTGTGGCTCAGTTGGTAGAGCATGACGCTCACAACGCCAAGGGTAGTGGGATTTGATTCCCACTGGGGCCACCCACACAAAAAAAAGTATGCGTGCATGACTGTAAATCGCTTTGGATAAGAGCGTCTGGCATATATCACCATTATCCTGTATGTTCTCACCAGTGTGACACTGCGTGTGGTGATGGGAGCACTCCAAGACAGATCCTTTAGCCTCGTTCTCACACAGTGTGTCCTGGGTGGTGGTCCCCAGTCGGAGGGTCTTCAAGCCCAGCTCAGAGCAGTTCCTGTGGGACACACACGGCTCGCTGGCAGACACCCGGCTGGAGAACAGGCCCTGCGGACACGCCTCACACACTGTGTCAACCTCTGGTGTACCTAGGAGAGAAACACAAACAAACAAACTTCAATTTATGAACCAAGATCATTCTTACAGGTGGGATCATGTTATACATTTCCAATCTGTCAAGTCACAAGTTGTGGTACGTGGTGCTGGTCATAAAGCAGCTGAGTTTTGTGAGTGGAAGTGTGGAGTTTCTGTAGCATTGTTTAGAGAGGAGTAAACTACAGCTCTCCTAATAGAATGGGTGTCAACAGTATCTACCACATCCTGTTTCAGAACAGAGAAGAAGTGAGAGTCAGAGAGAGTATAAGGTCCTTCATGCATCCAGTAGGATGATCTTTGACTTGGGTCCCCACCACCCACAGAGATGACAAGGCATATGACAAGGCATATTTGTGTGAGAAAAGATAACAAGATGACAAGGCATATGACAAGGCATATTTGTGTAAGAACATTAACTCACAGGTCTATATGAAATTACAAGTGACCAGCAGAGGTCATGGATCCTCAGGTTGACAAGCCATACAGTGCATTCGGAAAGTATTAAGAGCCCATGACTTTTTCCACATTTTGTTACATTACAGCCTTATTCTAAAATTGAATTTTTTTCTCATCAATCTACAAACAATACCCCATAATGACAAAGCAAAAACTTTTTTTTACAAATGTATTAAAAATTAAAAACAGAAATATTTCATTACATAAGTATTCAGACCCTTTACTGAATACTTTGTTGAAGCACCTTTGGCAGCGATTACAGCCTGGAGTCTTCTTGGGTATGACGCTACAAACTTGGCACACCTGTATTTGGGGAGTTTCTCCCATTCTTCTGTGCAAATCCTCTCAAGATCTGTCAGGTTGGATGGGGAGCGTCGCTGCACAGCTATTTTCAGGTCTCTCCAGAGATGTTCGATTGGGTTCAAGTCCGGGTTCTGGCTGGGCCACTCAAGGACATTCAGAGACTTGTCCCAAAGCCACTCCTGTGTTGTCTTGGCTGTGTGCTTAGGGTCGTTGTCCTGTTGGAAGGTGAACCTTTGGCCCCAGTCTGAGGTCCTGAGCGCGCTGGAGCAGGTTTTCATCAAGGACCTCTCTGTACTTTACTCCGTTCATCTTTCCCTCGATCCTGACTAGTCTCCCAGTCCCTGCAGCTGAAAAACATCCCCACAGCACGATGCTGTCACCACCATGCTTCACCGTAGGGAATGGTGCCAGGTTTCCTCCAGACGTGACGCTTGGCATTCAGGCCAAAGAGTTCAATCTTGGATTCATCAGACCAGAGAATCTTGTTTCTCATTGTCTGAGAGTCTTTAGGTGCCTTTTGGCAAACTCCAAGAGTGGCTTATTTTACTGTGTTCTTGGGGACCTTCGATGCTGCAGATATTTTTTGGTACCCTTCCCCAGATCTGTGCCTCGACACAATCCTGTCTCGGAGCTCTACGGACAATTCCTTCGACCTCATGGCTTGGTTTTTGCTCTGACATGCACTGTCAACTGTGGGACCTTATATACACAGGTGTGTGCCTTTCCAAATCATGTCCAATTAATTGAATTTACCACAGGTGGACTCCAATCAAGTTGTAAAAACATCTCAAGGATGATCAATGGAAACAGGATGCACCTGAGCTCAATTTCGAGTCTCATAGCAAAGGTCTGAAAACGTATATAAATAAGGTATTTCTGTTATTTATTTGTAATACATCTGTTTTTGATTTGTCATTATGGGGTATTGTGTGTAGATTGATGAGGAAAACAATTAATTTAATCCATTTTAGAATAAGGCTGTAACGTAACAAAATGTGGAAAAAGGGAAGGGGTCTGAATAGTTTCCGAATGCACCAGTATCATACTGTATTCCTGGCATTGGCAACAATGCATTTAAGAGCTGGGGTCAGACTTGCTCCAGTCAAAAGACCTCAAGTGTGCCTGAACCTGCCTCACAACAACCATCTGAGATCGTTATAACAGATCTAGCTGTATGATGAAGAAATCAGAGTTGGGGTAAATTCAATTTCAATTCCAGTCAATTTTGAAAGTAAACCAAATTCCAATTCCAATTCAAAATGTTCCTTATTGAAAAGCATTGAAGACAATTGGAATTGGCATTTCAGTGTACTTCCTGAATTGACAGGGTATTAAATGGAATTGACCCCAACCCTGGAAAACATTCCATTGTGATCTTCAGACCTGGTGGTGACCACTAGTCATTTTCTTTATCATGTCTTTCCTCTGGAAAATACAGTATGATACTGGTTCAACTGTAAGGGCTCCAGGAATACAGTATGATACTGGTTCAACTGGAAGGGCTCCAGGAATACAGTATGATACTGGTTCAACTGGAAGGGCTCCAGGAATACAGTATGATACTGGTTCAACTGGAAGGGCTCCAGGAATACAGTATGATACTGGTTCAACTGGAAGGGATCCAGGAATACAGTATGATACTGGTTCAACTGGAAGGGCTCCAGGAATACAGTATGATACTGGTTCAACTGGACAGGGTCCAAAAAATGAAAAGCTGAATGAAACCCCTTTGTTATGGCAAGCCTAAATAAGTTCAGGAGTAAAGATGTGCTTAACAAGTCACATAATAAGTTGAATGGACTAACTGTGTGCAATAATAGTGTTTAACATAATTTTTTAATGACTACCCCATCTCTGTACCCCACACATACAATTATCTGTAAGGTCCCTCAGTCGAGCAGTGAATTTCAAGCACAGATTCAACCACAAATACCAGGGAGGTATTCCAATGGTTTCGCAAAAAGAAGGGCACCTATTGGTAGATGGGTAAAAAAACAAAAAAAACGTTGAATATCCCTTTGAGCATGGTGAAGTTATTAATTACACTTTGGGTGGTGTATCAATACACCCAGTCACTACAAAGATACAGGCGTCCTTCCTAACTCAGTTGCCGGAGAAGAAGGAAACCGCTCAGGGATTTCACCATGAGGCCATGTGGTGATTTTAAAACAGTTACAGAGTTTAATGGATGTGATAGGAGATAACTGAGGATGGATGAACAACATTGTAGTTACTCCAAAATAATAACATACAGTGGCTTGTGAAAGTATTCACCTCCCTTGGCATTTTTCCTATTTTGTTGCCTTACAACCTGGAATTAAAATTGATTTTTTTGGGGGGGGTTGTATCATTTGATTTACACAACATGCCTACCACTTTGAAGATGCAAAATATTTTTTGGGGTGAAACAAACAAGAAATAAGACCAAAAAAACACTTGAACGTGCTTAACTATTCATCCCCCCAAAGTCAATACTTTGTAGAGCCACCTTTTGCAGCAATTACAGCTGCAAGTCTCCTGGGGTATGTCTCTATAACCTTGGCACATCTAGTCACTGGGATTTTTGTCCATTCTTCAAGGCAAAACTGCTCCAGCTCCTTCAAGTTGGATGGGTTCCGCTGGTGTACAGCAATCTTTAAGTAATACCACAGATTCTCAATTGGATTGAGGTCTGGGCTTTGACTAGGCCATTCCAAGACATTTAAATGTTTCCCCTTAAACCACTTGAGTGTTGCTTTAGCAGTATGCTTAGGGTCATTGTCCTGCTGGAAGGTGAACCTCCGTCCCAGTCTCAAATCTCTGGAAGACTGAAACAGGTTTCCCTCAAGAATTTCCCTGTATTTAGCGCCATCCATCATTCCTTCAATTCTGACCAGTTTCCCAGTCCCTGCCAATGAAAAACATCCCCAAAGCATGATGCTGCCACCACCATGCTTCACTGTGGGGATGGTGTTCTCGGGGGGATGAGAGGTGTTGGGTTTGCGCCAGACATAGCGTTTTCCAAAAAGCTCAATTTTAGTCTCATCTGACCAGAGTACCTTCTTCTATATGTTTGGGGAGTCTCCCACATGGCTTTTGGCGAACACCAAACGTGTTTGCTTATTTTGTTCTTTAAGCAATGGCTTTTTTTCTGGCCACTCTTCTGTAAAGCCCAGCTCTGTGGAGTGTACGGCATAAAGTGGTCCTATGGACAGATACTCCAATCTCTACTGTGGAGCTTTGCAGCTCCTTCAGGGTTATCTTTGGTCTCTCTGTTGCCCTCTGATTAATGCTCTCCTTGCCTGGTCCGTGAGTTTTTGTGGGCGGCTCTCTCTTGGCAGGTTTGTTGTGGTTGAATAAGAAAAGGAGAGTCTCACACTCTAGGAGCTCAGACGCAATAATTTAATAACCTAATAACCAACGTTTCAAGTGTTCTACTCCGTTAGCCAGCACCTCGCCTAAATAGGTGTGCGTTTCTTTCGCCTTCATATTAATAGGTTTGTTGTGGTGCCATATTCTTTCAATTGTTTAATAATGGATTTAATGGTGCTCCGTGGGATGTTCAAAGTTTCTGATATTTTTTTATAACCCAACCCTGATCTGTACTTCTCCACAACTTTGTCCCTGACCTGTTTGGAGAGCTCCTTGGTCTTCATGGTGCCGCTTGCTTGGTGGTGCCCCTTGCTTAGTGGTGTTGCAGACACTGGGGCCTTTCAGAACAGGTGTATATATACTGAGATCATGTGACAGGTCATGTGACACATAGATTGCACACAGGTGGACTTTATTTAACTAATTATGTGACTTCTGAAGGTAATTGGTTGCACCAGATCTTATTTAGGGGCTTCATAGCAAAGGTGGTGAATACATATGCACGCACCACTTTTCCGTTATTTATTTTTTAGAATTTTCTGAAATAATTTTTTCATTTCACTTGACCAATTTGGACTATTTTGTGTATGTCCATTACATGAAATAAAAATAAAATCCATTTAAATTACAGGTTGTAATGCAAAAAAACAAGAAAAACGCCAAGGGGGATGAATACTTTTGCAAGGCACTGTAAATAACAGACTGAAAATAAAGAAGCCTTTACAGAATAAAAAATATTCCAAATCATGCAGCCTGTTCGCAATTATGCTCGTCATCGGCAAGGACTAGGTCTATCCTGTTGTTACCCCTGGCCTGGATAGACCTGGACCGATCACTGCCTGGATAGGCCTGGACCGATAACTGACTAGATAGACCTGGACCGACCACTGACTGGATAGACCTGGACCGATAACTGACTAGATAGACCTGGACCGACCACTGACTGGATAGACCTGGACCGATAACTGACTAGATAGACCTGGACCGACCACTGCCTGGATAGGCCTGGACCGATAACTGACTAGATAGACCTGGACCGACCACTGACTGGATAGACCTGGACCGAACACTGACTGGATAGACCTGGACCGAACACTGACTGGATAGACCTGGACTGACCACTGACTGGATAGACCTGGACCGACCACTGACTGGATAGACCTGGACCGACCACTGACTCTTTACTCATCATTTCACTCTGCTGTATAAGGAACCATACTTTGTAGAAGCTGAACTCAAGAAGAAGAACTCAAGCTAAAAAGAAGAACTCAAGCTAAAAAGAGTCATCCTAACTGTCTGATACAGAGACAGAGAGGAAGGATGGAGCTGAACTAGTCTAACTGTCTGATACAGAGACAGAGAGGAAAGATGGAGCTGAACCAGTCTAACTGTGACACAGAGACAGAGAGGAAAGATGGAGCTGAACCAGTCTGTCTCCAATAGAATCTGACATGTTTCTATTCATCATCTCTCACAGAGACGTTCAACAGACTATTGCTAGTAAAATTCTGGCCAGAAACAAAACCCTCCTCTCCACTCTTCTCCTCTCTCCTCCCTTCTTCTTTCCTCCGCTCTCTCTTCTTTCCTTTCCTTTCCTTCACCTCTCCTCACCCCTCTTTTCTCCCCTCTCCTCCCTCCTCTTCACCTCTCCTCACCCCTCTTCTCTCCCCTCTCTCTCAGCCTCTCCCCTCCTCTTCTCATCTCCTCTCTCCTCATCTGGCCTGGAATACGTCTGAATCACAAACCAGGACTGAAGGCTGAGGAACGTTATGATTAAAAGGAGGGGAAGGAGGCCAGTGAGAACGAAGTACAAATTACAAAGACGTAGTTTAGTGTCTGGCGTGATCTTGATCCTGCTTAGCTTTGGTAGTGTCCCAAATGGCACCCTATTCCCTATTTAGTGCACTACTTTTGACCATAGGGCTCTGGTCAAATGTAGTGTACGATATAGGGAATAGGGTGTCATTTGGGACATAACCTCTGAGTGATCTGACAAGAGAGGAGAGATCCTGGTGATGATAACAACCAGGCAGCAGAGTTATTCTGTCTGATGACTAGGCCTGCCACTCACAGCTCTGTCTCTTTCTGGCCCTCTGCCAACACACTGATTACTACCAGTTGGCTCTCATAGAGAACAGAACAGGTCAGGACCATACACCAGTGGATTCTGGGTGATGTAGAGTACAGTACTATTATATTATAGACTGATTAGACCTACCACAGGCTGAGTAAACACTTCCCCCTCTGAGGACATGGGCTGACTACGAATAACATTTGCAAACCATTATGTATGAGTATATAACTGGAAGTAATAATTAAAAGAGAGGGAAGACCTTCAGCCAAGTTAAATAAACCAACAGTAGTTAAATAATGAAAAAGAGACTCCAGCACCATAGTTTCATTTGCATCTCAAAACATAATTTCAGTCAATCAATTAATTAATTCATTTGTTCATTGTAATTACACATAGATCACCTACCTAGAGCCGCCACGCCGTAGCCAGGTTGACAGGGGGTGTGTTTGATGCAGAACTCCACCACCAGGTGGTAGCCTGGCACACACTCACACAGCTGGTCGTGGGTGCTGTTACACTCCTGCCTCACCAGCTGCCTCTCCTTGCAGACCGTCGTGCAGTACTGGCAGCTGTCGCCCCAGTGCCAGTGTTCTGAGAAGGACCGGTCGGGGCACGGCGAGCAGGCGGTGGGGGTGTCGGCGGTACAGTGGGTCAGGACGGCCGTGCCGGGCGGACACTGGTCACACAGGAGGAGTTCAGAGGTCAAGGGGTCGTGGTGCTGGTACTTGGGGGGTCGGACCTCGTGGGACGCCCAGGAGAAGGAAATGGTGAAGAGCTGTGGAGAAATAGAGAGAGAGAGAGAAGAGAGAGAGAGAGGAGAGAGAGAGAGAGAGAGAGAGAGAGATGAGGAGGAGAGCTGGGTGAAAATGGGTGGGTAGAACTGAGTGTGGTTTTCCATATCTAGAGTTTGTCCTCTCTCTCTCATTCTGTTCCCCTCCTCGACGCTCTCTCTCTCTCGCTCTCTCTCTCCTCTCTCGCTTCTCTTCTCTCTCTCTTTGTTTCCCTCCTCCTCTTCCCTTTTCTTTCTCTCCTCCTTTTCTTTTTTCCCTCCTCCCTCCTCTCTCCCTCTCTCGTCTCCCTCTCCTCTCTCTTCTCTCCTCTCTCCCGTCTCTCGGACTCTCATCTTCCTCTCCCTCTCTCTCTCCTCTATCTCTCTCTCTTCCTCTTCTCCTCTCTCTCTCTCTCCCTCTCTCTCTCTCCCTTGTCTCTCCCGTCTTCCGATCGTTCGTTTACCCTCTATCGAGACTCTTCTTCAGCTCTTTTTTTGACGTTCCAATCTTTCTAGATGACGAGTGATATGTTTACAGCCCTGATGCCAGAGACACTAAGCATTCAGGGCTTTTTCTTGTTGTGATTGACCGGGTGTAACCCAAGCCTCTAGTGATCGACTGAGTGACTGAGTGTTATATGAAGCCAGAAACCAGGCAGTACTAAATAGAAGCTTGTCTGTGATTGACAGTGTAAAGCAGCAGTAAGCAAGGCAGCAGCCTTCACCGCTGTGGCCCAGATGTCAATTCTCCCTCCGTGGACTTCCCCCTACCCCACTGCCATGAAAAACACTGTGTCCAGTCAGCAATGTCCCTCAGCAAATCTTGGCCTTGGGTGACCTATACTGTCCTGGGGTGACCTAAACTGGCCTGGCCTGGGGTGACCTATACTGGCCTGGGGGGACCTATACTGGCCTGGGGTGACCTATACTGGCCTGGGGTGACCTATACTGGCCTGGCCTGGAGTGACCTATACTTTCCTGGCCTGGGGTGACCTATACTGGCCTGGGGTGACCTATACTGGCCTGGGGTGACCTATACTGGCTGCAGGCCAAATAAACATGGAGCATGGAGACTGAAAAAGTAGGGAGGAGCCTGATTTACCAAGCCAATTTTATTTTACTCCTGGGGAATGCCCCTGTGCATTCTGTACATGGAAGTTCTGGAATAAAGCTGTACTCTAATACCTTCAGGAATCACCATTATAATTAGATCAACCTTTGCGTATTGAAGCCCTGACTTCGGGTAAGAACGTACATTTCATCCAACGCTACAAT